AATTAATTATATAGTAATTAATTAATTATATAGTAATTAATTAATTAATTAAAATGTCTGTCACGGTCTGTGATGGGTCACGTGAGCGTCTGTCACGGTCTGTGGGGGGAGGGAGGGTGGGTGCAACTTTCTACCCCTAAACACTTCAACACTCCTTTCAGATCGTGTTTCACAAAAGAGGAAGTGCAGTGATCCGTGACACATATATCTACACGACTATCTTCAATTTTAACATTTAACATACATATGTTCATCATATAATGAAATAATATTCTTTAAAATAATCAGAGAGCACTTATCTTGTTTCTCCGAACTGAATCAATTGTTCTCTGACTATTTAGATCATACACTTCATAAAGATGAAACTCGAACGATCGATCAATAAAATACTCCTCGATATCTTCAAATATCTTAAAAGTATTCATTTACTTCAAGCATTTTCAAATCTCAATTCTCGTTTTAATAACCTTCTTATTATTCATTTTCGAACTCATGGTCTTGATTTACGATCAATATCCAAACATGAATTTGATACTCTATGTCAACAAAATCTTCCTTCAATTGCTAAGCATATTACTGGACTTCGTCTTTCGGATGATGATGATACACCAAATCAAATTAATTTATTTCTTTCTGAATCGTCAACACTTCGTCAATTTGTTCAATTGAAAAAATTATCACTCTATCATATATCTTCATATGCAACCATTCAAAAAGTTGTCGTTCAACTTCGTTATCTTCCTCTTCTTACTCATTTTGATTTAATCAATTGTCATTTAAAATTTCATCAAAAAACATTGCATGAGATTCTCAATCGTATTTGGCTTTTACTAGAACTTAAACATGTTCATCTTGATTTGAATTTTGTCAATGCAAATGAATTTACTACTCCAACAATTCGATCAAAATGTATTGAATATTTAATTATTGAAAATTCTTCGTTAAATTCTATTCAATTAATTCGATTATTTCGATGCACACCACAACTTCGACATTTAACTATTATAATCGATCAGTTGTCTAATGATACAGAATTTCCATCTAAAATCGAATCAATTTCATCATTAAAACTTGTTGTCGATCATTTAACTAATGGAACAATTACTCTATTGAAAAATGTGCCTAATTTAACTTCTTTAACTCTTCAAATTGAAAATAATCATATGAATGGTCATCAATGGAAACAATTAATTATTGATTATTTACCAAAATTAAAAATATTTCAATTTGTTATGTTATGTAATGTTAATAATGAAGATGAAATGAATGAAATGTTTGATTCATATCGAACATCATTTTGGGTTACGGAACGACAATGGTATATTCGATGTCATTGGAAATCAGAAAATAATGAAATCGCAATTTTATTATATACTTTACCATATGCTTTACAGATTTACAATTGTCTCTTCGAAAATGCTAATGGTCATACGAAATCAACATGTCCGAAGGAAGATAACTATTGTTCTTATAAACGTGTAACTAAATTACTTCAACATTGTCCAATATCAAATGATTGGTTTCTCTCTCATATTCGTTTTTACAATATTCGACATCTCGAATTGACACTTCCAGTTGCTGATCAAAATTTGTCGACTCTTCCTCGACTCGATCGATTGATTTCTCTCGATATATCAAGTGACGCTGATGTTGATGGTACTATTGTTTTATCTCAATTGCAAAGTATTATTAATCAAGCATCACGTCTGCAATATTTAATTATTGGTCATTGGGAGTCATCAAGTGTTCAACAACTACTATTACATATTACTAGTAATTCAATCCGTCGACTCGATTTACAAAGTTATCATTATGCAAAACGTGATCGTTGTTTCAACATTGAACAATGTAAAACATTTCTATCTACACCGCTCGCTAAACAATGTCAAGTTCTACAAATTGTCGTTAATGATAAATTAAGTACAAATGAGTTAATAAATGGAATGCCCAATCTTCAAGCATTGAAGGTGGTGTTTCAACCTAGTGATCGAAACAATCATTATCCCGGTAGACGAGTTATGATTAGATGGTTGGCATCTGGATTTTCACGTACTGTTACAGAGAACTTAATTGGTACTGAAACTTCTCGATTTTGGATTCGATAATAAATAAATAATATGTATGTTTTGTTGTTAGATTTGAAAACTTTTTGTATTCAAAAAAAAAAAACAAAATTTCAACAAAACTTTATCAATAAAAAGACTTTTTGATGTACGACATAAACAATAGAATACAACTTCATTTTCAATAGAGGGTGTGGGTGTGGGTGGGTGTGGGTGTGTGGGTGGGTGTGGGTGTGGGTGTGGGTGAGTGTGGGTGTGGGTATTAGCACAAGATAATAACACATACCCACACCCACACCCCACACCCACCCATATCCATACCCACACTCACACACGGTCCGAAGAAGATTTTTTGACTGCAGATTTAATTTTATCTGCCAAAGGAGCACAACTCGCACCAGAGGCTATCGGGAAAATACAATTCATTCACGATAACTATTCTATGTTCAAAAAATAAATAAAAAGTGACTTTATTACTGTTTCAGTTTACATCATGCGTTACGTTTGTTCCATTTCAAGTCACTTGTCATGAAACAGTGTGAACTTTTTGAATTGATGAAAATAAATCAAAGTATAGCGAATATTTTTTATAATATAAAAAGAGATCCGTATGCGAAATGGAGACAACAGTATAATTCTATGAAAACGGAAAGTATAACGTTTGTAAGAAAGGTCGGAATTACCAAAGGATTCGGTAAAATGACTTTCGAAAAATTCTACCGCCGCCGCTGATACTTTTGAACTTTTTCGCTGCTGTCACCAATCGAAAGATCGGCTAACATGTCTATTCTTCACGTAGATTGGATATCCAGTTTCAGCAATGTGTAAAACTTTGATTCATTCCAAAAATTTGGCAGCATGTTTGGTCTCACTATTATCATTTATAACACCATATATACTGAGTAACCAATTATTCGTCCCTGAACATTCACAAAATTCTTAATAATTCATATGGAACATCTCGGTTCAAACAGTTTAGAATGGTCTTGCAACTCCTGAATCTTGTTTTTTCGATAGTGTTTTTTCTTGTCAATCTTAATTGATGATTCTGATAGTCTCTAATTGTTACTATTTAAATTTTAGTTCATTACGCCGAAATGTTTTTCTGTACTAAAAAGGAATTCGATTCTTTTTCCGATAAAATAGTTTCATTGTTTTTTTAGATATTATTAATTCTTCTTGTCGGTTTATAAGCTTCAACGAGTCGTTTTTGACCACATTTATCTATTCACCACTAGACTTAAGTACGGAGAACTTGATTGTGAGGATGTGAGTGTGGAATGTGGCTATCGGCGAAGAGAAGATTCCAACTCACACCCACAGTCACAGACACACTCAATCTCACATCCTCAGTCACATTACTATTAAACAATTCGCGCATTCGATCGAACCAAACAAAACAGCTGCTTCTTTTTCTCTTTTTCATGAGCAGCAACGACGAAGTAATGTGAGTGTGATGCATGTGTGTACACCTATTCTGGATTGAAGTGTGAGTTGTGCCACTAATGTTGTGAGAAAGAAAGAAGACATTAAAAAAAAACATCGAAGCATGGTGATGCTGAAGTGAGCGACAACAAACACAATTGAAAGCTTGCCTGTTTGTGTACGTCATTGAGATTAGCATCTCTGTTTGCCATCTTGAATGGCTTCAACACATTATGACGATGCCAAGCGTTTTACCTCTCGTGAATCGATTGGAGCATCCGAAGAGTATTCAAAACCAGTGTACGAACTCGAACCCGATCCATCTGCAAAACAATTATCAGCGGTGACGCCACATCCATTCAGTCGATCGATTGAAGGAATGACACCGCACGAAGTGGTGCCCGCGACCCGTCGCATCGTCGTCGTACGAAATACGACGGATCCACAGGATGAACAAGGAAAATCGATTGACACGAGCGTATCTAGCCAACCAAAATCACTGGAATTTTCACCGAGAATAACTGATGGGGTGAGATTTTGAACCTGTTTTTTTATTTGTTCTAATGATTTAAAGAATGTTTTAGCGAACATCTGTCTATATCATTCGACGAAAGATTCCACCGGAAGATGAGAAAAATCCAACAAGTTATTATCCACCGGTAGAAGGCTCAGTGCAAAATTCATCTACACCTCTTGAATACATACACACACCTTCTCCAAATCCATACTCTCTTGGATCGCGCACGCTCAGTCCTTACCATTCACCGACTAAAGATCCTTCACAGGGTAAGCAGCCTTCTTCTACTGAGAGACATTCACTCAGTGCATCTTATCATTTAAAAGCTCTTGTTCCAAGTCAAAAGGCTCTTATCTCGTCCACTTCATATCGGTCGACTAGTCCTCAACAATTGTCGTCCAAGCGTAATGCGTCCAATAGGCAACTTTTTCCGTCTTCGTTCGTAGGAAAGGAATACGAAGGTAATTAAAAATGTTGATTAATTCTCTGCCAAATATATCCTATATTGTTCATGAAGAAATTCACCCTCCACGAACCAGACTGATACAGACTGGAACGGCGAACATGCAAAAATCACCACAGGCGAAGAGTAAACGACCAACCACTCGAAAGTCAGCTGTTGAAAGTATCGATCAAAATCGATCGGTCGGCCCACGAGTTAAACCAGTCAAATCAGCCATACTTGCCAATTCCGAGCTTAATACTGTAGCTCTCATCGACGACCCGTTTCGGAGAAGTGCAACGAACAATGAAACAACCAAAAGTTTGAAGTCCGACAAGAAGATCTACTTTAAAGAGAAACAACAGCAGGTACGACATGACCGATTTTCTACTCAATCGAATCGTCAGCCCACACAGAATAATTATCGACCACTAAAACCCAATTCGCGACCGATCAGCATATCAAAGGACATAAATGAGCCATCGTCGCGTAGTAACAATATGATCTTTGAAATTCCGGAATGTCTTCTCCAGAGAAGACAAATGTCACCTCAATCACACGAACACAAATTGAAACAAGTGGTTAAAGGTATCAATAACGTTATTGAAGAAGCGAAAAAACGACACAATGGCAATATACCCAATAAAGTCATAGTTATAGTGGATGATAATAACGCGCGAACTACTTGAAAATAGCCTCATTTATGACGATCATTGTCCTTATTCGTACTCTGCTTCTATACAGACCTATTTTTCATCGAACACATCATTTCTTTTGTTGATAAAGGAGGAATATCTATGTAGCGGTTCTCAAACGAATTTGATCGTAGATGTATTTTTTCCTGTGAATATTGATGTTAAGGTGAGTCAATTATCAAGATAGCCTGACGATATGAGACCATATAAACAATAAGGGGGTGTGGGTGGGTGTGGGTGGGTACGAGTGTGGATGTGAATGTGGATGTGGGTGTGGGTGTAGGTACTAGTTCAAAAAACATAAACATCCACACCCACACCCCACACCCACCACACCCACACCCTCGCACCCACAACCACACCCCACACCCACCCTTTCGACGCATCGATTTTGACTTCTGCTGGGCATCGAAATTTCAAATCGACCCCTGGGATTGCCATTTTCCGATGGATCGATGGCTCGGCGATAGGTTGTTTTTACTAGCAGTTTTCAACCACTCGAATGATCATTTCCGATGGATCGGAATTTTATTGAAAAAAAGGATTTTTGTCCGATAGATGTCTCAATTTCGAGTTGTCCAAACCCATCGAATATAAGTTTCGAGTCATCGAAACCTATCGAATATATGCGGAGAAGTAGATTTGAACATAGGTACTTACGATGCACTTTCCTCGAACAGTTAATCTAAATATGAACTGTTATTCTCGTATCAAAACGACCTTTTTAATTCATAAGAAGATAGTACTTTTTATTTTTCATGCTTCCTAACTTTTAATTTTATTTTTTTTTAAAACTGAAAGTAATATTTTTGGTCCAGAGAGAAAAACTTCATTTAAACATTAGGAATAATATTTTTCATACAGAAAAAAGATTATTCTTTGAACAATAAAAATAATATTTTTTATCGAGAAAAATTTTATCATGAAAAAAATTTCATCAAGAAAGGAAAACTTTTCATATCTCTATAAGTGACACAAGAAAGTTTTGTAATTTAAGACTTCGTATAAATCACTTACTGAATAAATATAACGTGCAATATGTGATGATCAACCAATTTGCACGCGGAATCATGAGATCAATATTTAGTCATTTTTTTAAAATTCACAACGTGAAAATTCATTATTACTATGTCTTAGTTAAAAACACAGGTGAATATTAGTTTTAGTTTC